CACAGGCGAGGCTCAAAAGCTACTTGACAATCTAACCACCAGTGTTGAGAACTTACAATTAGAGCGTCATGTTGAACAAGAACCAAGTTTACCTGAACTGAATGCAGATCAAAAATATCTTGTTGAAGGTATTTACAGGCGAGAACTATCAATTCTCATTGATTGGTCATTGTTAGCCGTATTGTTGAATCTTATCCAAGAAAGAGATGATTTTCACTGGTCTCGTGATTCAGCCTTTACAGCTTACAACAAACAGTGTGATCTTATCGAAAAAACTACAAAACGTAGAAGAATCAAATCAAGTATCAAAAAGCGATTACTTGATATTGACAATTACAATGCTTCAAATGCTTCCAATAATTAAATCTGTTCAGTTTTCCAGGTCCAGGATTTGGACTGATATTGACAATTACAATGCTTTCAATAATTAAATCAACCAAATTAATTAATCTGTTCAACTTGCTAAGTTTCGGCTTTGGACTCAACTGATTTAGCTATCTTATTGGTGTGGCTTAATTTGATAACCAAGTGTATTGAAAAAATGAAAAATCCTTTCTTTTTATCATGAGCTCGATTAATTATCATTAACATCGAAACAATTAAAGTTACATTATTACTGAAGAAAAAAATTATTCTAACCAATTTAGCTTCCATCTCTCTCTCTCTCTCTCTCTCTCTCTCTCTGATTATTATCATGAAAACAATTGGTAGTTAATCAAATTATCTTTATTGTCTATTAGTCTTAGCAATTTACAATCATTATCATTTAGTTTAATCGTTATTTTTATTCAACACTTACATTTACTGTCTTCATGATATTTCATTTGATGCAATGGTTGACAATCATGGTTGTTTTGAGTATTAAACCCATTTGTCAAATGATTTGTGTTCATCAAAGAGTAACATTGAGAATGAAGTATCTCCTCCTCATGATGAAATTTCCTCATCGCGATTAAATTGTCACCAAGATGTTTAAATATTCATCTTATACAATCTTACCCCAGCCCCAGGTTTGATTCTGAAAAAAAAGAACCTTGAATGACTGATGATTGAAAATTGATTAATTGATTCTTGAGTTTGTTATTAATCTCCTGATGAAAAAGAATCTTGATTGAATTTTCTCATCATCAGAATTTCTCATGATGATGATCCTCATCTTCATCATGAATCTCAATTTCAACCGATTATACTTTTCAGCTTCACTACTTGAAACTACTCATACTCAAGGGTGAAAACATAAACACACAAATTGAATAATCTTTAATGTTTTACATCTGAATATCTGCATGGTAATGTTTCCATGATGATTCTGAATCATTCTCTTTGTGGTAATCATCGTTAGAATAAGAAGAAGAAGAGAATGAATAAAAAGAAGAACTGAATCTAAAATAATTCTTATTCTAATAGTTGTATTATTATTATTTATTTATTCAGAATTCATTTAATCACATGTATATCATTTTTCCGCCTTCATACTTACCTCTGTATCTCACCCACTTTGACGTTTCTTTGTGTCCTAACGAATTGGTTGATTAAGTTTCAACGATCTTCTCATTGTTACCATTATCATTATTGTTGTTGTTGAACGTATTAGTAATAGTACCATGAATTCATGGGAATGATGAACAGTCATGATAAAATAACAATAAAAAGATACATTATCAAACGAACATTAAATCATATTATTATTACTATAATAGGAACAATGAAAAATGTTTCAATTTTTTTTTCTTCATCTTCCTCTTGTCTTCCTATCGGAACCTTTTTCGTCCTTCTCCCTTGTTCATCTCTCCATCATCATCTCTCTTCCTTCCACGTCCTTTTCATCATCTTTTCTCAACTGTAAGTTAATAACATTTACATTCTCAATGGTTTGAGCATCTTCATGATAATCATCATGATGATTAAAGTGATGATTGTGATAATCAAATCGTTTCATGTTGTAAAATGTTAAATGAGAATGAGTTTAGTTTTTTATACTTTTTTTCAATAAGATTCATGTTAATCTTTATTTTTTATTATTCATCCTGTTCATCATCTTCATCTGGCTTAATCAAACAAAGATTTTATTGTTATTGTTTATAAAATTTCAATCTCAATCAATAAATTGATTCAGAACTACTCAGAACTTTTCTTTTTTTAGTTCCATCAAATTGACTTGGACGATTAATCGATCGAGTTATTAATTTCGAGAGAAATAAATATTCTAACTTTCTCATTTCTCTCTTTCTCTTGATTTCCTGATTGACTGATATTAATCATCTGATTAACTCATCTTCAGGGACTCACTTGAATCGTAGTTGATAATTAAATTTCATGTCGTTTTTTTTATTCAAAATTGGGTCAAATTAATATAAACATCATGTTTATAGTAGTTGCGATGAAGTAATTTAACAAGTTAACAAGTAATTGTTAATCTATGTGAATATTTAATCATGATTATAACAAGCTCACCGTAATCACCATGATTGGTGAATATTATTATCAATATAAATTTCCCATTTTCCTATTTTTACTCAGTTTATGATTAAATGATTATCATGGTTTGATATGGGAAATGAATTGACAATTTGATTTGTTGGCAGTTTTTTTTTGCTCATTGTTATCAATTTCCCATTCAATGTCTATATCCTTTTAAAAGGATTCTGATGATATTGTGAGTGATGATTTGGATGAGGATCATTGATATAATGATGATATACAAGAACGATAACTTAATCTTTTGTCATCAATTCTGTCACCAGTTGAATACCTTTAAGCTGATGAGATTCTCATGGGTTTTCATCCTACGGACTTGATACATAGACCAAAATATATTATCGGGACATTTTATTTTCAATCACAGGTATTATTTGTATTGAGTTGATGATACCTGTAATTCATGATGAGCAAGATGTATGTATGAAACTAAATGAATCCCAATGACATGCAATGAGATTATAAATGTTATTTGATAAAGGAAATGACCATCCAACCCACTCACTGTTTAAGTCTCTCATATCATATTGTCAGCAAGACAAAGTGATTATATAAATACATCATCATCATTCTGTATCCATTCTGGTTAATATAATACCCTCAAGGCCTTAGCATGAAGATTAAACTGAATAATTCCAATATCTGCAACAACAACAACAAAAGCAGCCTCAGCATCAACTGAAAACCAATATGGCTGATGATATAAAACCGATTCTAATCAATGAGCTGCATCTTTTTAAACATCATTATTTGAATCTGATTCATTTCAACACTGAATTTTCACCATATTTTCTGAGTCTTTTTTTTCTTGTTCATCACTTTCCTGTCAACATTCATGATAACACGTTTGTCAATTGTACAGAATTGTGAGGATTTGCCTTTGAATCAATTTATAAATACATTCAATTATATTTCTCTGTGTGTTATTAGATTTTTTCATTCCCATCATCATGATCATCATCTTACCTTTATCCTTACATCATGGGTATTCAGAGGTATACACAATCAGGAAGATATTAATATTTCCATCATAATACAAAACTCAGTTATCAATTTTCATTCTCTCTCTAGATTTTCATTATTATCATCAAAAAGGATTCTTGTTTTTCCTCTTCATCATCTTCAGCATCAAAACTATCTATATTCTCTCTCTCTCTCTCTCTCTCTCTCTCTCTCTCAGTTTTTGGTAACAATTAATGATATCGATTTCAATTTGTTCATTTATTGAAGGTTATTACTGATTATCTTATTGGCTCAATGAATCAAACGGTTATCAACATGAAATATCATGACGATAACCTCCTAGTTGTAGATTATGATTGATAAATTAACTTGTCAATGTATTTTTACAATTTGTTACAATTTAATCATTTTCAAAGAAAAAGGTATCAACCTAATGTTGAATATCATTTTTTCCTATTACTTTTCATTCATGATTCACAATCTGAAGGAAAAACCATTAAAATTTATCGTTTATAATCATAGAGGAAAATGTAACAATTTTTTCAACACTTTCACTTTTTAATCAACATGTCATTTGATTTCAATCAATTTTGATTCACTTTTTATATAATTAAATTATTCATTATTATCATAATATTTTGGAAAAAAAGTAAAGACTTTCTGATTTATTAAATTATTGGAACTTTATTACAATTGTCCATTCGTAACAATTACAAGTTTATATGGAAATTATTTCGTTACAATTAAAATGAAAATACTCTTATCATCATGAAAATGATTAATTTGATTATTGGATAGAAAAAGAAGAAAAAAAAATATTCCTACCTTGATAATATATCTATTAATATACAGGGAAAGTTCAATTATGATAATAATATGAAATTAGTTGAAATAATTTGTTGATAAGGGAAAAAAGTAAAATGATTAACTAAATTGTTAAAGTAATCATTTTAATCTAACCCAAGGCAATTTCATTATCATGATGATGCTGATGATAAGGGACCAGGCAAAGATATATAATACTTATCATCCTCATCATCATCACCATCATGAAATCAAAAACTATCATCAAACTAAGTTAACCTACAAATTAACTCCCAGCACAACATTTGATAATATAATTTAGCACAAATTGTATCATCAGTTGATGATTTTATTTAACTTGATAGTTATTATTTCTTAATTTAGGAATCACACCAATTTCAAATATCTGTCATGAAATCAATTGAAACTAATCATTAAATCCTAATAGATGATCATATTTATCTCGTTTTCATCTCTCTCTCTCTCTCTCTCTCTCTCTCTCTCTCTATTTTCAATCTGTGTGACCTTTTTTCCCCATGAAACTAAAAATAATCACCAATTAACATGTTTCAATGTAACAATTTACTGATTCACTTGATTGCTCGTTTTATCCGTATGTTTGTATGTTAATTAACTGATCAATTAGTTGGTTTGGTAAACAATTGAGATAATCAATCAATGAGTTTTAATTATATCAAATTTTGGGTTCTTCATGTTTATCTTTTTCTTTTCTTTTTCTTTTTCTTTTTCTTTAGATGTTGATCAACATTTTCTCGGTGAATTTAAAACAATTTGGATTCAATCAATTGAGCTCATGATGAACATCATGTAAGCTTATTCAGATTTGCAAGTTCCTGGATTTTTTTGCGGGTAAGTTTGTGAAAAAAAGGAGAAAAGTAAAAAAAAAGTTCGACGGTTGAAAAGTTCTGATTGAATTTTTTTCCATTAGATTGGAGAATTTTCTAAATTCTTTTTTTTTCTCTCTCTTCCTCTTCTCATAGACTTTGAACTTTCCTCTTTTCATCTTCTTGGCTTCATTTGATTCTCTCTGAAAGTTTTTTTCTTCAATTAATGTCGACATTAAGTTAATCATGATGATATTCAACAGGAAATGAATTGATTTCTTCAGATCTTATCCATTGTCATTAACAGGAGACTAAATCAAACACCAATATCTACACAACAACTTTGCTTTTAATTGTTATTATTATTAAATTGTTCCGTTCACAAGATGACAACTGAATTAACAATTGATATTACTGATGCCTACACATTAACAAATAGTAATACCTCAATCTACTTGAATGTTTCATCATCAATAACATCAACACTTTCATCATCTTTATCTTCATCTTTTTCATCTCTAATATCATCTGTAATATCATCATCACCGGTTGGATTATCATTATACAAATACGACAATCAAAGTGATCCAGTGATATTAATAGCAAATAACAATAATGCTATTGAAACAATTAACCAAAATCTGAGTGAACCTTTAAGCCACTACCCAACCTCATCCTCTTCCTCATCTTTTTCAATCCCCTCATCGTCTTCCTCTTCCGTATCCGTCTCTTCATCATCAATTTCTTCCTCATCACCATCTCCCTTTATCTCAAATCTATCATTTTTACAACCTTTACAGAATGAGCAAAAAAATTTTGGACTAGTGGTCAATGTAACCAAAGACTGGCCCATTGAATATGCCATGATCATGTTTGGCTATATTATGCCTTTCCTGTTGATAATCACCTTGATCACCAATAGTTTGGTGGTCATCGTCCTTGCCCAAAGAGAGATGAGAACCCCGACAAACCTTGTGCTCCTCGCAATGGCCATATCAGACATGTTGACCCTTTTGTTTCCCTCTCCGTGGTATTTTTACAATTATACCTTAGGTTATCATACGGAAATGCTTCACCCACCGGTGGCCTGTTATGCTTATCATTGCATGATTGAAGTGATACCAACATTTTTCCATACAGCATCAATATGGTTAACCTTGGTTCTAGCGGGTCAAAGGTACATTTATGTTTGCCATCCAACGGTAGCGCCAAAATATTGTACACCACCCAAAGTGACCCGAGCCATTGTGACCGTTTTTGTTTTAAGCCTAATCTTTCAAGCCTCACGTTTCATTGATAGAGATTTTCAATCAATTGAGATTAAATTAAACACTGGAGCCTCTGTTTATGGTTGTAAATTCGCCACCGCAACCTGGGTTAAACGTATATTCACCGAGGATGCCTATTACATCTTCTATTATGGTTTTCGTATAATTTTTATCAACATCGGCCCGTGTACGGCCCTGGTAGTCCTTAATCTGGCCTTGTTCAGGGCTCTTCGTCGTGCCCAATCAAAGAGGAAATCGTTATTCAAAGAGAATCGAAGGTCAGAATGTAAAAAACTTTGCGACACCAATTGTACAACCCTAATGTTAATCGTGGTGGTTTCGGTTTTCCTGGCCACCGAATTACCTTTGGCCCTTACGACGGTTCTCCATGTGATTCAGAATGCTCTTAAAATTCATATTGCAGGCTATGAATATCTTAATCTGATAATTTTATCAACCAACTTTTTTATTATGCTCAGTTATCCATTTAATTTTGCCATTTACTGTGGTATGTCCCGACAGTTTCGAGAAACTTTTAAAGCACTTTTCATCTCTGGCAGCAGGTCAAACTCATCTGACCGATCAAGACAAACTCGTGAAGGGTCAACACGTTATTCAGTAGCCAATGGACCTCGAACATCAACAAATGAGACAATTCTTTGACCATCAATCTAAATTGGAATCATTTGTTTTTCTTTGTGCTTAAATACATCAATCATTTTAGCTTAATTTAAGACAACAATTAAACCAAAAATTATTATTATATTTCAATTATCATCGATTAATGAAATATATATAAATTAATAGATCAATTAATCAATTGATTATCTTTACTTGTATTAATAATTTTATGCTTCGAAACTTTTTTTTCAGCAAAATTGTCCTTGTCTCGTGTTAATTATTATTGTTGTTAATTACTATTATCATGTTGATTAATAAAATGATGAGAAATCAATTAATGCTTTATTATTTTTGTAACAATGTTGATTATCCAGTTAATTATCATGATTAATAATAGATTGTATTTATTGATTTTCTTGGTGTTGTAAAAAGTTCATGACGCCCTCTTTATGTCAGAATATGAAATGATTCAGAATTTCAATTATTATCATGAAATAAATAATCAATAATCCATAATATTGATAATTTTATCAAAATACAATATTTTTTATATTTGATCACAATTAATTCAAATTGTTTATTAGAAAGTTAAACATTTTCAAAATTTTCCCAATGAAATTGAACTTGAATGAAAAGTCAAATCAAGGTAAAGGTTAAGGCTTAAAGTAGATAATCAAATTAAATTAGTTGATTACAATTTCCAATCGTTAGATTAGTTGATTAACTTTTATCGAACAGTTTAATTGTCAATCGAAAAGTAGTTAAATCGAACTGATTTTCCTTAGTAACTTAAATTCTAACCACTTGGTGTCAGTAAAGGTTTTAACCGAAGGGTCAAAGTATTACTTAGGAAGAGCAGTGAGAGAGTATGAGAGAGAGTGAGAGAAGATTATCTTCTCTGTCTACAAAGGGGAGAGTGAGAACAAAATTGCCCAGTCTCAGTAAATTTATCTCTCTTTGAGGCGAAGTGAAAGTAAATGCGAAAGAGAAACGAAAGAGAAAATGGAAATATCTTTCTTTTTTTTTCTCAATTGTACTTCTCATCATCTCTCCCTCCCCTCCCCCGTCTCTCTCTCTCTCTCTTTCCTTATCATCCTCATCCCTGATCACATCATTTTGTGTATTTTTCCTCATCCTCATCGCCATCACTCAATGAATATTGTTGATGAGTGTTGTTGTTGATGTTACTGTTGTTATGGATACATTTTTAACAGTTACAACATTTAATCATCATTTTTAAACCATGATTAGTTTGAGCTCCAATCGGATTTTAAATTGTTAACCAATTAAACATCAACAACACTTAGAAATGTAGTTTAATCAATTTTTCAAAGGTTTGGATTATTTAACCATCAACAATTAGTAATTGAATGTATAATCTTAATCATCTTGACAAACAAAATAAACAATCTGATTGTGTGTGTGTGTTGATTATTTTGATTAATATTAATTAATCAATTTCTGGTGCTTCAATAATCAATATTGTAATGTCAGTGGGTTAAATTTAACCGTTTTTTTCAATCAACTTTAAACCCAATTAATTGTGATTTATGATTAATAGGCTGTGATGTTTTGCTTCTGTCACAACAATCAACTAATTAATTGTCACAATTAATGATACAAAGGATTAAAAAACACCGATCGCCATTATGATAAATCCCTTTATTACCAATTGGATAACCTTAATTATTGTTTACTTGACTTTTCCTACGAAAACAGGTAAGTAATTAAAAAGAAACTGTTGTTGATTAGACTTTAATTCAATTTAATGTTCAAAATGTTCAAACCTTGTTGGTATCAAATTTACAATTTGTTTAATTGTCTTAATCATTTAGGTTCAACAACAACCACAAACCAAGGTGAACCTGAACGAGTAACCGCCAATGTCGGTGAAAATGTGATCTTAAATTGTGCCTTCGATTATCCTGAAGGAATACCAGTTTCATATGTAATTCAATGGCAAAAATTAGGAATTGATCTTCCAATTTATATCTGGTAAGCGACTCAATCGAAAAGGAAAACGAAATGTTCAAACATGTGACATTTTCACTGCGCTCGAGGAAAAAAAAAACGATTTCCGTTGAAAAGATATGAGCATTTGTGATAATCTATCATTATAAATAAACCATAATGATGATGATCTCTCCCTTTGTGTGTCTCTCTCGTTTTCGAATGTCAATGTCCTTTTAGGACATGTTAAGCTCAGCTGACCTTGGGTCTCGACCCAACTCGAAAAGAGAGTGAGGGTGAGGGTGAGACAAAAGTGGAGCCCAAGAGAAGAGAAAATGGAATCGTGTACACAGTTCGAAATTACTTTTGTCCTCTCTCGATAAATGCAAAGTAGAACTAAAGAAGCATTTGCAAAACATGGATCATCTTTAGCATCTATCAAAACCTTTTCCTCTTTTTTTCTCCTCTCTCACTCTCACTCTCACTCTCATCATCATCCAATGTGAAGTATTAGTTATCAAAATCTACGCAAATACATAACAAAACCCATAAAGAGGATAAAATTAACTACATGCAAAGATTTCATTGAATTGATCTCAGTCTCGGTTGTTGAAGAAACAGTAGAAAAAAAAAATCAATACAATTTTGCATAGGATACAAACCGAAAATAGCAATGGAAGTAATATTAATTATCATCTGATTGTCATCCATTTATCTTTAGGTATGATGGTTATCCGCCTCACACGGGAACTGGATATGAAGGACGAGCTTCCCTTTCCGGCCAAGCATCGCTCAATTTAACTAAAGTTAACGAGGAAGATCAAGGTTGGTACGAATGCAAAGTTTTCTTCCTCAATCGACCTCCAACCTTACCCAAAAATGGATCTTGGGTTCATCTTGATGTTCATGGTGAGTTGAAAATTCATCCCATCGATTCAGTGATAAAGATTATTTTCCATTTTCCATTATTATTATAAATTCTTAATCTTCATCATCACCATTTTAGTAATTGTTGAGTATTTTTCTTTGACACAAAAACAACAATCAATCAAATAAGATTATATTACAATCAGCATCAATCAACAACCAAGAAATATTAATTGTTCTGGAAGATGAATCGATAAAAGGATTTATCTTGAACATTTTGTTAGTATAATTCACCAATGGTCATTTGCAATTCTATTCAATTTTACATTAGTTAAATGCTTAAATGTGTAACTAATGGTCAGTTAATTATGTTGGGTCATCAGATTACTTTGTTAAACTTGCAAGTTTTCATTTTATTTTCACCTTAATGATGATTATCATCATGATCGCTGGTGATGAGCCGGTGAATTTGATGGATGTTGTTGCTTAGATGAAACTAATATTGATATCGTTTTTTTATCTTCACCAAGAAATGAACTGATGCTGCGCATTTAACTCATCTTCCAGGTTATCCTGAAGGGATGAAGATGATCATGATGATGAAAAATCTTGAATGAGTGAGATAGTCACTGGTATTCAACTAGACATCGGAATGATGATGATGATGATAGAATTTGTATAAGATCAATCGTGACTGATGCTGATTCCTTGTTTTTCTGTAAGGCAAATGATGAGAATGAAGATGATGATAAAAAGATGAAAGAGAAAGAAAAATCATCATCACTTTCTCTTTCACGATCTCTCTCTCTCTCTCTCTCTCTCTCTCTCTCTCTCTTCAACTCACTGTATTTGACTTATTCTCATTTATCATCCTCATCCCTTTTGATAATGATGATAATTACTATAAGATTATAACAATGATGATAACAAAAACATATAAATTACTGATTGTAAGATGATAATCAAAGTATTGATGATGATTAAGACGATAGAAAAAAAGATCTGTGAAAATTCATGTTCATGAACAAGAAAAAGAAGGAAAATAAAAACTTGTTTGGGTGATTTTTTTGTTCTCCATCATGAAAACCAGAATTTTCATCATTATCAACTCTTCCTTTTTTATCCTCATCTTTTTATCACTTTCCCTTATCATCCTCTTGTCTCCATAACAACAAAATCATCTCCCCATTCACGTTAACCTGTTAAAAATCATCATCATGACTACATGTAAATATTTACCTTAATTTGACTTCCAATATTTACAATCCAACTTAAATTCAAAAAAAAAGAATCAATAATCTTCCATCTATGGACAATCAAACTGTCGATAATTAAATAGATCAGTTCTTTGACCTAATTTTATGAGTTGGGTAGAAAATAATATTGATCAATATCACCATTTTGAAATTAAAGTAAAGGTAATTAACGTTGACTTTTAAGTACTTGATTAACTTTTTCAATCAATATCGATTTGAGCTTCAGTTATTAGACTAATCTATTCATCCTCATCATCTTAATCGTCATTATTGCCTCTTAAACAATAACATCAACCTTCATTATCTAATTCTGAATATTTCTCTCTTTGTAATAGTTAGAAACTCAAACTTTTCTCTAGACAAATCTCCAGAATAGAAGATGAAGAGAATAAAAAGAAAACCAAAGTTTTTCATCTTCAAGACATCAACCTTTATCTTCTCTCTCTCTCTCTCTCTCTCTCTCTCTCTCTCTCTCTCTCTCTCTCACCCTCTCTGTCTTTATATTTTTCTATCTATTTGTGTGTCTACCTTCAGGTCTTTTCCTCTTTCTTTCTGAAAATAATATCGATTTTCTCATCACCATCCGATCTTCAATATCAAATAATCTAACAAAGTTCATAACTTTTTCTTTATCCTCATCTTTATCCCTCTTTTAGTATATTATCTCTCCCTTTCTCTCTCTCTTTCATCTCACTCACTCTTCCTCTTTACTATTTTGTGGTAATTTTCATCATCTTTAGTCTCCATTTATACCATTTTCATCATCATGCTTTCATACTACATCCTCATCATGACTCTCATGTTTATCATTATCATCGTTGTAGGATTATTTTACTCTTAAGGCTAAATTGTATTAACACTCACCGGTAGCTTGTGATGTAACCTCACGGTCTCAGTTAACTTTTAAATCTCAGTTACCTTGAATTCATCTTATATCAAATATATTATCAAAATTAGAGAAGCCAAGAAAGTATCATGATCACAATTTACTATTATTATAACTGGTCAGTCTCCAATTTCCTCCATAATATGATCCATTGGCCTTTTCCTTTTTTAATTTCACAATCAACTTTATCTTCATCAAGATGGACATCATCCATTCTCATCGCCCTTTTATCCTGTCAAATACACTCTTAATTGTTTCATAAAATCAGCTTACACACTGAACAAAATTTCATCTTCCTCACACTTTATGACACTTTTTCTTTATCTTCCCGCATCATCATGATACTGAACAAATAAACTGATCCGCATGCATAAGCTGAAAGTTCAATTGAAATGAAATTACAATCCTCATGAAAGGGATAATAATACATGTATTATTATCTATCACTTTCTATGATCGACTTACCCCTTTCATACCCTGATTTAGGTGAGATATGGAAATGAATTGAAAAAAATGAAAACTCATTTCAAATAAATTCGTCCAATCTCATCTCGAGACTCACCATGTTGACACAGATTCAATGATAATATTTATCATTATTATCGTTGAGGTTAATACAACTTTTAGTTTAATATCAAAGCCTTAACATTGTTTACATTGAGTTTTACTTTGACATATTATCATGTATCTACTGAGATAACATGGTAAAGTCAAATGACTGACTTTTATCGTGATGGTTTCATGAAATAACCACAATGATAACATGATTTTCAATATAATTTACTTAATTTAATAATATTATTATCTCACAAGAAAATTATTTTATTCCCTAATTTCATTCATTGGCCTTAATCTACTATTCTGATTCCTGAATCAATAAAAACTATTATCATGATGATAATGACTGTTATTATTAAAGCTTATTGATTAATCATGTTATCATGTTATCATTTACTTGAATAGTGAATTCTTGGCTTGAAAAAAAGTTCAAACAGTTTCAATGAAAACTTCATCTTTTTCTTGGATTTCACCAAATTCAGATTACCCGGCTAGAAAAGACATTGATTGTGATTCTGTAGTTAATTGCTATTCTGACTTTTAATCTATTCGATATGATTTAATTGGTTACACCAAAACAATGTTCAACTTTTGATCTGATGTTCAAGTTTATCAAAGTTAATCAGCTTGTTAAGAGATGAGTATAATGATCAACATCAGATCTTTATTGATTATCATGAAAATCAGTTGCAATCGTGATTCTCATCGAGTGCTCAACAATTATCTTTGACTGACAATCTTTTAGTTTGTATTTGAGAAGATGATAAAATCGATACGATGATTATCATCTTCATCATTATTGACTTGATGAGGATGATATTTATCTTTCTCTTCATTAGCATCCTCATCAATTTAATTTGCTCATCCAATTTGTTCAATATGATGTATTATTATTTTTGATAATTTGACTTTTTTTCAGTCATTTTTTTTTTCATTTGATTGATGAGAATCAATATCATCAACATTATCCTGTCAACTATTGAATGATAATGTTATTTGATGAATAATCAATTGAAATAATGACAACTATCAATACAATCAGATCTTCAATGATCAATTCAAATATTGATTTACTTTCACCACAATCAATTGACTATTTAATCATTTCAATGGTCAATTGTTTGTAAGGTTAGTAAATATTTTTCATTCATAATTAGAGATCAACTTAATCATTATCAATGTTTAAAAGGTTAATATTTGTGATTCAACTTGAATCAACTGATAATTAATCTCTTTGTTCACTAATTGAGTAACATGATCTTAATATTGAACGATGATAAGATAATATTATCATGATAGAGTGATGATGATGATATTTCTCATGATATTCATGAGAAATGAACTCATGTAATTAAATATATCTGATTAGTGGTAATGAGATCAGAATTGGGGAAACAATAACAATAAAATTGATAATCAAGTCAAACTAATTAAATTAGTTATGGGAGAGATGGTTAAAGAGATTTGAAATATCATTGATTTAACAGCTGAATTAAAGTGGTCAAACCAGAGTGACCACCTCGTAGGGAGGTTGATTTAGGTGGTGGGTTAATAATACGGTTTTAAGGTTGAAAGTTGTTATTGCCTTTAATAAGTTGTGATGGACAGATGAGCTTGACCATTGGAGAGCTGATAATTTATGTATGTACTTGAGACTTGAAGATCTACAGTTAATGAGCTAATATAATCTTACCTTTACAATCAGCAAGTTAATGATGAAGGTAAGAGAAAGAAAAAAATAACTTTTCTTTCAGGTAAACAATCAAAGTGAAAGGTAAACGGATGAAAATTGTTGATTCGTTTGCATGAAAAGATCGCTATTGGAAAATTGTTCTAATTTGAGTTCGACTTTTTTACTTTCCCATTGAAGCTTTTTTATTGCGTGATCTTTTTATTACCTTTTACACTTAACCTCATCTTCATCATCATCATAAACACAACAACAATATATACATTCATAAACTTATTATGTATCCATGAATTAAATAGGCTTCAGGTTTCAGTGTTTGAGCTTAAAAGCTCATCTCTCTCTCTCTCTCTCTCTCTCTCTAGCAATTATCTTCCTGCTCACTCACTATCTTCAGCCAACAAGGTAATGATGATGATGCGAGTTGCCAAGGTTAAACTTTGAGATGCCTTTTTGACAAGGGTGGGTAAAGCAACATGGTAATGTTATGAATGAAAGGTAACTAGCGTGACTGGTTGGTCTCTGAGCTGGGCCTTTGGAAATCCCTCCTTAGCCCCAGTGGGTTAGTTTTACCTGGAGAGAGAGAGAGAGAGAGAAGGAGAAAGGAAAATTGAGAGAAGGGGTCGAGGAACCTTATGGTCATTTAAGTGCAAGG